CAGAAATCAGTATTTGGTGGAAAAACCTGGAGGTTTTCAATGGGGTGCAGTGAGCTCTTAGTTTTTCCTGAGCTCTATTTAAAAAACATTTTGAAATTAAATATTTTTTAGATCAGTTATAATTTCCAATAATATATAAATAGGCTAAAGGCCAGAAAAGTAACTGAGATTTGTAAATATACTAAGATTACTACTATTACAGTACTTATTTAATTTCCATTCGGGATCAATAAAGTATTTTTGAATTGAATTTGTGCTGACAGATTGATGATGTAGTTTCTTTGTTAGCGTCGATACAACATTAAAATAGCATCACAGTAAATAACCTTTGTGTTGACTGGATTCTCACCTGTGGATCTATTTAAAGTAAAATCAAGAAGAAAATAGTAGAACTTCACAAATCTGGTTCATCTTTGGGTACAATTGGACATTTCTGTGGTCACATGCTCGCATAAACACCAGGAGGATGAGGAAGGGTGAGGAAGAAGCCATTACTTCAGAAGCAACATAAAGTCAGATTGCAGTTTGCAAATGCACTGAAGGACAAAGATCTTATTTTTAGAGACATGTCCTGTGGTCTGATGGAAAAAACAAATGAAGCATTTGGTCATAATGATCATCATTACATTTAGAGGGAGAAGAGGGAAGAAGGCCTGAGAAAAGCATCCCAGCTGTGAAGTACAGAGGTGGCAGCATCATACGGCGTGGCTGTTTTACAGCTGAAGAGACTGATGCCATAACGTCGATGACATCATGACCAAAAAAACATCGTGTGGAAACTTTGAAGCAATATCTTAAGGACATCAGCAGGACAGTTAAAGTTTGGGAAAGGCCTGTCACAATTAGCAACATATCAGTCACCTGCATGATAAATTCTCTTTTCTTTCTGGATGATAAAATCTTGAGTTTGGTCTCAACTAGCAACTATTTTGAAGGGCAATTTTGTTTACAGAAGCTATGTAATAAATTTTATTTGTTGTTTCTCTGATGTTTCTTTATTTTGTAGATTAAAATGTTTTCTAGCTCCAGTGTTATATACTCATTAGAATTAAAAGTTTAATGGTCTTTCAGGATGTATTCCTGCATTACCATTGAATTGCTTGAAAATGATCTCAAAACTAAGATTACTACTATTACAGTTCTTATTTAGTTTAGTTTATCACAATAACTACTGGAAGAAAAAGGCCTTTCTGAGAGACCTAGTTTGGACACGACTAAGTCTTAAAAAATAACAGCAACCCTTAGTAGTTTGTTGACTTAACGACAACACAAATGATACGTTTTAGCGGCCATCACGGTCAGTTAATCACATTTTAAATTAGAAAGAACTCACTAACTTACATTCTAATAATAATTATTTTATAATTTTGTTTAGATCTCATTCTGCATTTTACTTATGGTTTTTGTAATTTTTGTTTTCCTTTTATTATCTGTTTTTGCTTTTTGTGTTTTATTTTGCTCCAGTCTGGAGGGTTATTCACAAAATTAAAGTTGATTGTTCTTTGAGAGAGTGAACTTACTTTACTATGCCATTATTAATACATTCCTTCAAAATATCCTGAAAACAACAATATCTGTCTGTCTCAATAAGTGCTGGGACAATTTGTTATCCAGCTAAATCTGAACTTCAAACCTGACTCAGTTACAGCAGTTCTGACAGGAATAACACTAAATTAAAATGTTTAAGATTTTTCATCTTAAAAATTAAAATTTTTAAGATGAAGTTGATGGTGCTAAAATATTTATACATTGATGCAAATGAACACATATAAATCAGATCTTTGCCATTAGAATGAAAGGAGTCATTAAATTGTTTTATTTCTGTTTACACAGAACACATTTGGTTATGTTTTAAGTATAAATATTGACCCGAACATTACAGAACGAACATGTTCTGTCTAATTTGTATTTGTGCTGGTGCTTTAACATGATCTAAAAGTGTGCAATCTCAAAGTGTGTGTTGATTGCAGGTTCAGTCATCTCTGTTCATCACACCAGAAACACTCTGACATGAACTCTGTAATATTATGAAATATTACAGTGGTCTTCTTCTGTAATTTACTGTAGTTCTATATTTCCCAGCACTTTAAAAGCTTTAATGAGGCCATCAACAAACAGTTTGCACAGCAGGGATTTTACATGAAGCTGATCCAAATGATGCAGTCCACATTTTTACGTACCGCAACATATGTGGGCATTGTATTAACTCCAGAACTCTAACCTTTTAGATGTTTTTCTGCAGGTAATGACAAATGCCCTAAAACAATCATACAGGCTTCAGTGGTTTCTGTAGAGACAAACCCATAGTCTCTGTCATTGTCTGAGGGATATGCTATATAATTTTATCTTGAGTAAATGTGATAGAGATGTGATAAAGTTAACAACCATTTTTATCACTGTCTGCTTATCTTTCCTTATTTTATATTTCAGGTGTGTTGTAAGATTCTGAAGTGGAGGATAATAGTACTTTTTACACTTGACAGGTTTACAAATATTGAACTACAAATCAGACTGTGGCCAAAGGGTAGTGCCGCTACTCACAGATGGCACATTATATCACTTAATTGATTCATTTCAAATAATGTTTGTGTCTTAATACTTTTCAACTCACAATATTATGAAAAATAAAACATTTTTTACCTTTCAAAGGTTTGAAATCTGAACATGTTCAGCTGTCAAGAGCACCTAAACTTATTATTCAAAATCTTACAAAATGTATGAAATCCACCTTTTTCAGTGACACGAGTCTCTGGATTTGGAAAACGACCTGCTTCACTTTGCATAAGTGACAGTCGACATTTAAGAAACGTATTGTATGTGTTTGTTTATATTGAAACTATGAACCAATATCCGCCAGATGGGATCATTACGTACGTATGATGTGTTTTATTCATAAACTGAAGATTTGGATGCCATTTTATTCAAGAGCATTTGTCTTTGTGAACCTTTTTCTGCTGATGGATCCTGTATTGGGTTACACTTTATTTGAAGGAGTGTTCATAAGATTGACATGACAAATATGACATCGCCACTGCCATGACCAAACAGAAGAGTTCATGAATGCATATGTCATTCACTAAATAATATTTGTAATGCAAAGATTCATTAAAGGTTACACTAAAAGTGTCAATTTTGCTTTAGTTGGTGAGTAATGACACTTTAAAGCAAAGTTGCATTAAGAATCCATTAAAAATGTACAATTTGCATGAGAAGTGTCGTTATTTACAGAATGGGACTTTGTGACAGCAATCCTAAACATTTATAAAGACTCCTTCTAGTTTTTGACACGTGTTAAGTCAAATAAAATTTCACCTTGTATGATATTTCCCCTCCTAGGAATAGTTTAATAGTTACATACATACGGGCAGACAAATATAATGCAGAAGTGGGCATTTTTGTTATTGTAACAAATAACAAAAATGATAAACTTTTGCTTGATTTGATCCTAGAAAGCAAATATAAGCTATTTTTTTTTGTTTTTTTAATGAAACTGGATGTTTTGGTGTTCAGAGGCAGCAGGAAATGTTGTCTTCCCTCTGTTGGAGACTACAGGAGGAGTTCAGGCTGCTGAGTCAGCCTTCACATTTCCTACAGAGAAGCTCATTAATCTTCCAAGTGCCTTCTTCTGTCAGCTATCCAGACCACTGCCACTCGATCACTTCCTGATCCTGCTTTACAAACATTCCCATCCCTCATGGAGCCAACGTTCTACTTGCTGTTACTGTTTTTTGATAAATCAATCAGGAAAGTCTTTGATTATTTAAATGACACATTTAAAGTGCACTTTAATCAATTAAGTATGGTGTATATTACAAATGTCAAAGAAATTTGACTTCACAATTTCACGTCTTGAAATTGGTCTCTGTCTCTTTAAGAAGCTGTTGCTCTTTCCAAAAGAGCACATCTCTATAACAATGTTCCTCCATTATGCCGTTTAAAACCATTCTTAGGAGCGTTGGACTGAGAAGGAGATTGTAAGCTCTGTTCCTCCAGGTGGAATAAATGATACCGCCCCTTTAAATATGCCCACATTTTCCATCATAGGTCCAAAATGTTATGTAGTTACATAAATATGTGTTCATTAATTTATTGCTTCTGCCATCATATTTATTTACATTTTTAGGATTTTCATTTGTTTGTTTAAAGTTCTACAATTGTAACTAATCAATAATCTCTACTAGTGTATGGGAAAGTGTTTCAGTTCTGAAATTTACCTATAAAATAACAAATTTTAATAGTTGGATAAAACTTGTCCAAAATAACTATTATTTTTGTAATTCATAGAAATCTTGGCTTTCTATTGAATTTCTTAAATATAGAAATAATAGGATAATAGAAATAGTCTTTATTGTCCCATAATGGGGAAATTACTGCAATAAGAGCAAACAAAGTCACATAAAGACAGAATAAAATCCAGTTCTGAAGAATGTAAACTATGTGCACAATATGCATATATCTCTGAGCATTAAAAGACTTCTTCTGAAAAAGAAGAAAAAGTCTGTCTGTCATACAGACAGTGGTAAATGAATTAACACTTACTGAGTTTGTTGGGAGCAGTGATGGTTGCAAAGTTTAACATCTGCTGGGAGGAAGGATCTCCTACAAAAAAAAAAGAAAAAAATGCAAAGTCTTCTTTTCCAAACGTCTAAAATTTCCCCATTTATTTGTTCTTTAAGAGTTAAAACTGTAGACACAAGGTGTTCACCCAGCAGTGAGAATCTGCTGGGGTGTTCGTTTATTTAATTTCATTCTGACTGCCAGACTGCAGCTGGCTAGCTAAGTGTTTTGCCATTAAGGCTCTGTTCTGTGCTTAATTCCTCTACAGAGCAGAGGCTTGTGGGTATAATGACAGCCGGCAGACTGCCTACTCTACAGTAAATGTTTACCATCTTGTGTGCTACCTTGAAAATAAGCAAACAGCCCCTCTGTGATCTCTTAAATTAAGCTAATGGATGTGGTTGCGTGACCTTTGATCCCTCCTTTTTCCTCTCCATGTGCAGATTTATAATGAGAAGAAGAGCCAGTTTGAAATCAAGAGAAACAACCCCAAGGATCTGGTGGAGCGAGTGGCGCGGGACATCTCCAAGCTGCTAAACAGCAAGAGCAAAGCCTTAGAGGTAAGAGACGTATTGTGTCACCTGTCTGCAAGCTGATGCCATGCCTCACTTCTCGTATGCATGATGGACTCTTTGAATGTTCAGTTGCTTTTCATACAAATAAGGGTAATTTGTCTGTTTCAACAGCAGAGACAAAAGGAAAATGCCAAACACTATAAATACATATATAATTTTATTCTATTACCTCCCTCATTTAATTCTGCATCAGTTGATAGTTTTTCCCATTTAAAAAAAAAATTCTAGTCAGGCTTTGCCTGAAAAGGTTATCATTTCAATATCTTGTGTTTTGCTGTATAATTATTGCTACTGTTATGCTCAGGCAGGCCCTGTGATTAGCTAAAAATGCATTTTGGTCTCTCAGTTGGAAATCTCTCACTGCTCTGAGAAAAACGGTAGGATGGGGATACAGTTTCAGGAAGGATGAGTGACATGAGGGGAAATGAGAAAAGTACAAACAATCAATTTTTAATTTTAGAAATCGAGGGAGAAAGTAGGGGAGCTCTAATTGGAAAGAACAGCATTACAAATTCAGCTGACACCATAAAATCTCGTCCCTTTTCTCTACAATGGCAGATAATGGATGTTGTTGTATTTATATCTCTATGTCAATCAATATACAGTTCCTTGCAACATTATTAGTAACCTTTTAACTTTTTTTTTTAGAGTTTTAGGTAATAAATTAATACAAAGAAGTTATGAAATGTGAAGTGGAGGAATAATGACGCATGGTATTCAAACACTTTTACAAATTAAATCAGAACATTCTTAGCCACTTTTAGTCTTATAATTTTCAGAAGACACATAATAACAGTATCCACATGTTTGCAATCTCTATGAATTTATCTGTCCTGAGAAAGTCTCAGAACCATGAAGACCAAGAAACACTGCTGACAAACATAGGGAAAGTTGTGAAGAAGTTTGAAGCCATATTAAATTGTAAAATGAAATACCATATTTTGAATATCTCACTGCTTAATCCAGGGGTGTCAAACTCCAGTCCTCGAGGGCCACTGTCCTGCAGTTTTTCGATGTGCAACAGGTACAAAACACTGGAATGAAATGGCTTAATTACCTCCTCCTTGTGTAGATAAGTTCTCCAGAGCCTTGCTAATGACCTAACCATTTCATTCCTGTGTTTTATACCTGTGGCACATCGAAAAACTGCAGGACAGTAGCCGTCAAGGACTGGAGTTTGACACCCCTGCTTGACTAGAGAGAGGAACTCTGCAAACTTGAGAAAATCAACTCCATTCATGGAGTTGATTGGAAGACTAGTGAAGCTAAATACATGGTGATTGATGTTAAAGGCTGCAAAACACAAGACTGACCATGGATTTACACTGCATGCGGCTTCGCTCCACTCTGGTGCGCACTTCACCGCCATTTGTGGCCACTCTGACTTACACTCCGCTCCATTTTAAAGCCCTCAGGTGGTCCGAAAAGCATGTGGGGGAAATTAAAGATAATAATACATTTTGAGCAAGTTTCATCTTGCAGCAGAACAACAATAATACGCTTAGATCAAAGCTTAGTTCGCCAATAGTTGACAATTATTTGTGGTTCTAATGATAGTTCATCATATAAAATCCCATTCAACTGCATCAAAGTTTGTAGTTGTTCCATAAAAACAAGCAAAAACAGTTACATATTTTGCAAAGCAGCATGTTCAGTACTTAGCCCTCAGTAAAACATCTGTATTCAGTGCTTATGTGTCACAAAGCTGTATTATTTTCCTACTGAGCTGTTTTGATTTCTCCATGCATGAGTATAAAAATGTGTGCTGATACATTTGCAGCCGTATAAATGCATGCATAAAAAAGATCTGTCCATTTTCCTTCCTTTTTGTTTCTGTTTAAGTTTGACCACTCAAGCCAAAGCAGTATTTTTGGAGCACTGGCTTAAAGCCTGATAAAGAAGCAGAAGTGTATATCTTTCAGGAGCACGAGGCCTTGTGGGATAAAATGAGGCATATTCACAGTAGGAAGCATGAATCTGTGAAAAGCTTACTTAATTCTTGAATCCCTAAAGTAAAAGAAGGCATCCCTTCACATGTCTCTTGGCCAACTTTGGGATTGGATTTGGAATGGCAGTGACCATCTATCTGAACATTTCTCTTTTTACTAACTTTTTTCCGGTTTTCACCTCCTCTGCCTTCTTGAATATACACACAGTCGCATGCAAACAATCCAACCTCCACACCTTTACCTCCACAGTGTCACCTTACATCCTGTCTGGGAGATTCAGACTCGAGGGGCGAGAGGAAATGGGGTGAGAAAAAAGGAGACCTGGAATGAGAATGTCTCCCTGGGGCACGGGAAAGAAAATCAAGAAATTGATGTTAAAAATGAGCAGCAGGCAGGATGGAAAGAGGGAGTAAAAGAGGCAGAAAGAAAAAAGAAACATCACAGGGGAGTAACCAATTTAACAAAAATCACCAATAAAAGTACAAAAATTATTCAACAAATCAATATTTTATTGAACCAGGTTTTGATTTTTTTTAATTTTTTTTACTTTAAGGCTGCAGGCAAATATATTTATGTGGAATTATTATTCATTCAAGGAGGAAAAGTGAAAGCCACGTCTTAATGCAGTTTGTAGATAAGAAGGTCTCTCACTCTCCCCGGCTCAGTATTGACAGTGTTTTATATTCCAGGCAGTTTCTGTGCCCTGTAATGGTTATTTAGTCCCAAAAATTTCCTGAGACACATTTAAAAAAGGGTAAAGTGTGCATGTGTGATTGTGTGTGTGCGTATATGTAGACAGTGTTTGAAAGCACGAAGGAAATAAATTACTCTTCTGCAACCTATTTTTTTTTGCTCCTTCGGGTGATTCTTTATAATCCATGTTTATATTACTAATGAGGAAATACACATCGACTCTAAACTCTAGTGACTGATTTAAAGTGGCACTGGAAATATTTCTCCATGTTCCAGATTTAGATGATTTAGTCCCTCATTTTTTTAATTAGCAGAACGTTTTATTCATTTAAAAGCTCTTCTTTTCCCCCTGCAGTTCAAATGGAAAATGTTTTTTTTATTTTTTTCAGTTTGTTTTCTTTGGCTACTCTGTCCGGCTCTGTCTTCAAAATACAATTTGTTGCAGCTATTAAAGGGAGCACAATAAGTGCACATTATTTCTGCGCTGTGTATTTAAGCTGTAATCTCAACATTTATTGTTATCAATAGATTGATCCACAAAGCCATATGTAAGGTATCATTGCGCTCGACGTACCCCTCATTCTAAAAATGGAAAGGCAATAATGTGACTTACTCCTCATCAAAAGCCGAGCCACTATTTGTTCTCCTTCTTCCTTTGTCTTAATCTCCCCCACTCTGCGTCCGTGTTCGCTCTTCTTCCTTTCTCGCCTCTGGCTTTAGTCATCTTAAACAATGATCTGATTCTGCGGTCGGTGCCAAAATTAAAACGCTGCACAAACTGCCACTGGCTGAAACACTTGCAAGTTGCCAATGGATATTTAATGTGAAATTTTTCTCTGATCAGTTTCAGGAAAAAAAAAAATCTCATCTGTCCACCTGGCGCCTTGTTTTTACTTAGCAGATATTTGAAATTGGCAGAAAAAACTGTTTGCTTTCTTGCATATTTGCTCTGTTTTTGTTACACACTAATACAAAAATATAAATACACTTATAACGAAAACACTGCTTTCCAAACCTGGCAGTATGTAGGAAGATAATCTTCCTTCTTAGCCTAGTAGCTGCTTGTGCCGCTCCTGGCATCAACAATTGCCATCAAGAGGTGTGAAATCTGGCAGTGAGTTGTTTGAATCACTGAAGGGAATTTAACCCACTTTTTTTTTGGGGGGGGGGGGAATTATTTTAATTCAACCACACTGGAGCATTCATGACCTCTTCAAGGTTATATCACAATGAGATTCAAGCCCTGCCTTTGACTATGCCACTCTTAAACATTTGTCTTGGATTGTTTGGAGCTACTCAGAGGTTAAGTGCAATTCTAGAGCCATTTTGGTTTGTATAACTGGGACACCAGTTGAAAACTAAGTTAAATTTATTCAAGTCATTGTAGCATCGGTGTCCAATGTTACACTTGTAGAGGATTGTTTGCATGAAATATTAGGGAGGCTATTATGTTTCAAGTGCCAGGTAATCACGCTACTCATATTAACAATACAGTTGGCCAATTCAAAGTACTCTAATTGTCTTAATTGTCACCTAATAGTAGCTGAGATGCTTGTAATGCAATGAAAGAAATATCAGGAAATGTCATAATCAATGTCATATTCACAATTTTCAGCAATAGTATTGTGGTAAAATTTATTCCTCATGTCTTCCAGAAAATGTCTAATGTTAAAGTTTGTATAATAATCTGAAGCATTTATGTATGACAAGAAGCAAGACAGAAAAAGCCAGTAAAGGGAATCATGCTTTTTTTCAGCACTATTGCAGATTGTTTTTATTTTTTGCCTGCATAACCTGTGCATGTTTCAGCTTGTTATCCTTTTGCAGTGACCCTTTACTGCTAATGTCTCAAGTTAACTTCACACGTTAGCAGTAAAGGCTCTAAATAACTTTTAAATAACATTTTAAGAAGGTCACTTAATTACAGACAGAAAAAGAAACTATTCCATTAGATTACCTCTATTCACTAACTTTTAAACAATGTCATGTGGTTGGGTATTGTAAGGCCTTATTAAAAAGTTTATTTCATTTACTGCACTTACAAAAGTTCAACTGTTGTTGATCATCTAAAAAGTCAAACCTTAATTGAATCTGTCCTTATAAGAGGGTTTTTCGTAATTAGTACAAAAAAATCAATATTTAGAGATTAGAGGTTTGTGTTTCAGAAGTTCACAGCAGACAGAAATTGACTTCACAAGGCAGTTTGTTTCTTTTTTCAAGAAAAGATCTGGTACAAAATAACCAAATATGTAAAAGAGTAAATGACAAATAAGTGAAATGTTCACTACCGACCCAAGTCTAAATCTCTGCTGTGGCAGCCTGAGAGAACCTCCATATGTCTCC